AATTTACTTAGTGAACCAATGCTCTGATACCAAATGATGCGGAACCCCAAGACCTTTGCTTGAACCTTAGAACTCTTCAATCGGTTTAGAACAGAATTTAGATCACAAGTAAAAAGGAATCAAATTTGTTCAATCACCCAAATGGTAGAAGTTAAATATAACCCAAGAAAGATAAATGATATCCCTTGAACCCAATCCAAACAAGCACCAAGAACAATTGAAATAGGAAATCAAAATTGAAATACAAGTGATAAAAATTATATTCCAAATCAACACCTTGCGCATAAAATGAAAAGAAAACTAAAACACTCTCAACTCAATTCTGAAATATTTGATTACAACTCTTGATGTCTACAAAGAAGAGTTCTTTTGGTATTTATAGCCAAAAAAATCAATAATAAGTTAGAACACAATAACTACAATTGTAACTCCCACAATAACTAGACTAATTATACGCATGTAATTGTTATGTAACTCCTTGTAACTCCAATCTTCTTAACCAACACCACTAATTGTTTGTGGCACCATATAGTTATGGGCTCATTCTTGTAATAACACTAAGACAAGACTTAAGCCCAAAATGAGTTACACTTGATTATATGAGCTTAATTAACTCAAATTAAAATAAAACAATTCAAAATACTTAAAACAACTCAACTAATCCAGCTCATACACAAGGTTATTCACCCATTACCAATAAGACTCAAACGAGTCCAAATTATCCTAAATTATTTAAACCCAATTAAAGTTACGAATTTGGGTTGTTCAAAAAGCTCATATTTGAACTTTCCACAATTGGCCAACCCATCATCCACATATTTTTGAGTGAAAACTTTGAGCAACTCTTAAGCTTCTATACCTTTGATCTTGTTACTGGTCCGCTGAAACTTCCAGGTTTAGAACTCTATTTGTGTTTGCGTTATTTAAAATTTGCTCCAAGTCACCTTTTGATGCTCTTTAAGTATCTTGAGTGTTTTTAGCCTTGTTTGCATCAATAGAACACTACTACAAAGAGATGGAGATAGCCATAATAAGGGCTAATACTGAAGAAGATAGGGAAGCTACTATGGCAAGGTTCTTAAATGGCGTTAATAAAGACATAGCCAACATTGTAGAGCTTCAACATTATGTGGAGATTGATGATATGGTGCACATGGCTATAAAGATTGAAAGACAGTTAAAGCGAAAGGGGAACACAAGGCAAGCCAACACTTATTCGGCCAGTATTTTGGATTGTTTTATGTTAGTTTGAGTTAATTAAACCCATGTAGTCAAGTGTAACTTATTTGGGTTTAAGTCTTGTCTTAGTGTTATTAGAAGAATCAGCCCATAACTATATGATGCCACAAACAATTAGTGGTGTTGGTTAAGAAGATTGTAGTTTAAAGGAGTTACATAACAATTACATGCCTATAATTAGCCTAGTTATTATTGGAGTTGCAATTTTAATTATCACATAATTAGCCTAGTTATTGTGGGAGTTACAATTGTAGTTATTATGTTGTAACTTATCATTGATTTCTTTGGCTATAAATACCAATGGAACTCTTCTTTATGGACATCAAGAGTCGTAATCAAATATTTCAGAATTGAGAGCGTTTTGACTTTCTTTTCACTTTATGCACAAGGTATTGATTTGGAATACAATTGTTATCACTGTATTCAATTTTGGTTTCCTATTTCAATTGTTCTTGGTGCTTGTTTGGATTGGGTTCAAGAAATATCATTTATCTTTTTTGGGTTCTATTTAACTTGTACCAATTAGGTGATTAAACAAATTTGCTTCTTTTTTACTTGTGATCTAAATTTTGTTCTATACCAATTGAAGAGTTCTAAGGTTCAAGCAAGGGTCTTAGGGTTCCGCATCATTTGGTATCAGAGCCAGGTTCACCAAGTAAATTAGTCTATCCTTATTTTGTTGTCTTTCTTTTCATTATTTCTTGCTAAAAAAAAAGAGATAAATTTGCATTCAGCAAAAAAAAAAAAATCGGATTAACCTAATTTACTTAATTGTGCAAAACACACTTTAATCGGTATTTTTTACTAAACAAATCCTCCCTACTAAAACTACAACTAATCTGTAATTGAGAACTTGGGTGATTGGGATGAAAAAAGTAGAAATAAATAAACACCACAAGATAAGTTGATAAATTAATTCAATTCTTGATGCAACAAGAATAATAAAAATTCTTACTTGTCAAAGTTCTACTAAAGACAATGAAATTCATTCAATAATCGAAGTGTATTATATTACATTAAAAATGAAATATTTATAGCCTAAAACACCTAGATTCTACCGAAGTATTATAATTAAATGATTTAAGAAAATATGAATATAATTTAAATGATCTAGGAAAACATGAATATAATTTAAATGACTTAGGGAAACATGGTATTAAATGACCTAGAAAAACATGATATTAAATGACCTAGAAAAATATAGTATTAAATGACTTAGAAGAACATGGTATTAAATGATCCAAAGAAATATAGTATTATATGACTTAGGTAAATATGAATATAATTTAATTATTTAAGAAATGACTAAAATGATCTTAGACATTCATTTTAAATTCTGCCCACACACTTTGATGAAATTAATGATTTTCTTTGGCTTTTTTCATTCTTCAAACAGTCACATGTGCTAATTCTTGATGGTAGTAGAGATGATAACAATGATAATAGTAATCATAATAATAGTTAGGGTGGGAATGAGGGAGTAATGGTGTGATGTTGAAGCAAATAAAGTTGATAGTGACTAGTAATAACAATAACAGTAGTAGTGGTTGGTGGCAACAATAGTTGTAGTATTTATAAGTATTTATTGATATAAAACCAAATTGGATCAAGCTAAACTAAACCAGGTTGAGAACCAATTAATGATAGAGAGATTAGACAATTTATTTTCAATTTGGATTGGATCAGGCTGATGCTAAAATTAGTCCATTCCAAACAATTTTTTTTTTAGTTTACTAATTAAAAATTTGTAGAAAATAAAATTAAAAAGAAAACTTCTTTTAATTTTTTTTGTACTTTTGTTAGATCAATCTCTTGGTGCATGGATAAAAAACCAAAGCAAATAATGTTTGGTTGAATAACCTTAATGATAATGACACAACCTTATGTGCACTGAATATATGGTTACTATGGCAACAACATCAATGATACAATACTGACAACAACATTGGTGTTAGTGGAAAACAATTTTGCTAGTTACAGTAGTAATAACAATAACGATAACGATGAGAGTAGTGATAATAAAGAAAACCATTAGAGATAGATATAGGAGCTGATTACCCATTAATTAACCACAACCTACTCTAGGTATAAAACAAGTATGAGTTTATTTTTTAACTAATGAAGTGGGTATAAAAATAAGCAAACTTGTCTAAACTTAATTTTACCCATCTGTAGCACCTATTAGAACTTGATAATATAAGTGACAGTATTGGTGATTGACAACAATAGTCATGCATAGGACCAATAGCAATGGTAATAATAAGGGTTAAAAAGATAGTAATAATGAAGTGGTGATACAAAATGGTGACAAGGATGGTAGTGGGGCCCTTGTTGTTTGCAAGGGATAGATATATAAGAAAAAGTTATAAAAGATAATTTTAGGTCTTTTAGAGCATTAGTCGGATGTACAATTTTTTTTAATTGGTCCTTAATTTACCAAATTGTTTTAAAATACTATTTTTAGTTAATTATTTTTACAAAAATAATAAAAGTTATTCATATGTTGCTTGTGTAATAAAATTATATTTAAAAATATAATTTATTAGGATTAGAAGTTGAAAGGAAATTAAAAAAAACAAGATTGTAGACCTTATTTTCTTTACTAATGTTTATTAAATCATCTATATAGTTTAAATAAAACAAATTATGTACTTTTAAAAAGTTTATTAAGGTTAATTTTAATTATTATAACTTTCAAACTCTATAAAAAATATTAATAAAATAAAAAAATATTATTTGTAAATCAAAATTTTTACAATTAAATGAAAAATTATAAACTGAAATAATTTTATTTAAAGTAAGATCAA